GCCAATGATATAAATATTAACAACACAAGAGACGTAAAGAAATCACAGTTTTGTAATTTTTGATAAAACAAAAGAATATAGAAATATGGCATTTATATCATATTATATAGTACATTTAGCACTATCCTTTCCAAAAGTTTAAAGAAAAAATGTAGAGCTTTTTTTTGACAAAATCTTCTTTTTGTAATTTTTTACATTTGTACACATTGCATGCAATATTCCGCGACAATTACTCAAATTTTCAAAAAAGTGATCATGACCTTAATGAAAAATCTCATTGTGGAAAACAAATTTTATATGAAGGAAAAATCTCTATCTGTAATTTTGTAGACACCGAAAAACATTTCTTTTTAAATTTTCAAAAATTCAGAGCTAAACTTGAAAATTGGGTCTATGTTACCTTTGTAAGGGTATTTACTCTATTTTTACAAGAAAATAAAGAAAAATTTGGAGCCATTTTCAGAAAAGTTTGAAAATATTCGGGGGACTTCATGTAAAGTACCCCCCAATTTTAAAGAATTTTTTTCAAAATTCCAAAGATTTGACTCGAACCAGATGGACAGGGTTACTTCAATTTGGGAAAATATCCTACACATGGTTTAGTAGTGTTCATGGACGGACGTAAGAACAGACAGACGAACGTTTTAAAAAAAAGGGTATTTCGTTATCAGGAGACGCCAAACGTGTATGTCCATTGAAATTTCAAAATCGATTTTCCGCAGCACTTCATAATTTTCCCTACACTACATATATGGGAAAGTAGAAAAAAACGAAATTATAGCACATTAAAAATAATTTGCATTCATTTTGTTTGTGCTGTTTATTAAAATTTATTATAATTGAAGTCGGAATTAGTTGGCAATATTGACTGCACCTAACAAAATTAATAATATTAAATTATTTGTTTCTAAAAATTTATTAGTTAATATTTTAATGCTTTAGTATAAGACTCAAACAAAAAAGGAATTATTTCAGTAAATGATGAAAATTGTTCAAAAATATCTATGCTACTAAACAATAAACTAATACCCCGTTTCCCCTGTGTAACACAGTGTAATACTGCCTCAAACCCCCTCTCTGCCATTTTATTGTTACGTAATTTATGGTCGACCCCTTATTAAGATATTTTTTTCCTTGATGGAATCTGTTCTAAAAAATTAATCTTCAAATAAGGGCATGAAAGTTTTTTTTGCATAAATGAGTATTTTTGACATAGTGTTTGCTTGACTTAAAGCCTTTTTTTTTTCTTAAAAACGCTCAAAAATGTTTCCCATGTGGAGTAAAGGATGCTTAAAAAATTGGTGCAGGTCCCATTTTCATTGAACTTTTTGAATTTTCAAAAATTGTAAAACAATTTGAAAAATGTAATAAAATAATGCAAGAGCAAAAAAGTTTGTGTTCTTGTAGCACCACTTGTTTTTAAAACTATTTAATCATTAATTAATCGTATTAATAATTAATTAATTATTATAGTAGTTAATTAATTGTAGTGTAAGTAGAACTTTCTTAACAAGTTTCAAGTGATATTCTATTACAGTTTTCGATTTTGAAGCTATAAAACCGTTGAATTAAAAAACTTTCAAATACATTTTAAAATTGCAAAACAACGGGAATCATTTCTTAAAATATTAGTTAATGCTCATTTTTCTGAAATGTTTCATAAAACTATCACATGAAATAATCCTTCAATTTTCAGACACCACGTTATTAATCTTCAAATTTACAGAGAGTGCAAATAGCAAATATTCAGTATGATGTCCCTGATTTTGAATTTAATTATTTTTCAAATTTAACTTTAAAATATGACTAACCAAAATGAGATATGCAAAATAATGTTATTCTCTATTTGTAAAAGAAAACTATCATTTTCAGAGCTACATAAAAAAAATTGAAAGAATAATAAAAGCTTTTAATTTTTTTACTGATACGTTAGTTCCCCTTTGGAACACAGGCTTTTAGTAGCACTGACCTTGCAAGCGGGAAGGCTTGCTAGCTCCAGTGAGGTGTAGGGCTAAGCCAGCAGTAGTATGCCTTTTTCGCCTGACTACTGGTAGGGTCATCCATGCCGGACAGGCCAAAATGGAGGAGTCAGACAAATTTGCATCCACAAGTCCTACCCATCCTAATGCCTTTATCATATGTATTTTTTCCATTCCTATCCTAATAAAATCCTACCCTATATCAAAACCACTGAACATTGTCTTTTTAATCATACTTCTTTCTTCATTCTTGCTTTTTCATTACTATATATTTACCTTCTAGATTTTGACCTTAATCCCAGGACTTCTTCCTGTCTTCCCTCTTCTACCTTTGTGGCATCTTTAACTTACTTGTGCCACAATGCTTTGTGTCTACTCTATCAGCCTGTCTTGGCCAGCTCTTGTTTGTTTCAGACACCAATCGATTAGGTTTTCGAGGGCTAGGGAGTCTTTCCTTATCTTCCCTTTTTTCCCTTTCATTCTTCATATTATGATAGGTTGACCTCACAAAGCGGAGATCTTCAAAGCCATCATGACAGCAATACTCCTACGGGCATGGAAAGCCTGATATAAAATGCCCTGGCCTCCAGTTGGGGATTGAAGCAATGGGCCAGCTCTCCATTCTTCAAAAAAAAACCAAAGTTGCGTAATACGCCAAACATGTCTGGGAATCAAGAACTTTACAATAAAAAAGTCAATGGAAATGGATAACAAATTTAGAATACTGGAATGTCAAAGGACTGAGAAATAAAGAATTGGAAGTAACAAATTAATTAAAATTGCCCAAAATTGAGAAAGTCATACTAACAGAAATCAAAAAGAAGAGAAATGGAAACGAGATGTAGAAATTTTTTTTTTTTTCTGTGGTGAGGAATAACATTGCTGAGCAAAGACAGAAGTCTTTATTTTGATACATAAGAAATGAAATTTGAATGCTTTAAATGAAAGAATAATAACTCTTGATCAGGAAATTTTTAATATTAGTTTTACGATTGTTGGTCTAAATGCTCCAAACAATGATGCCACCTTATTGGTAAAGGAAGAATCCTGCACTAATTAAGAGAAGTAATTTCAACTTTAGGTAATAGGAAGGAATTAATTTTACTAGGGGATTTTAATGCAAGGGTGGGAAAGAATAGTGGGTCAATATGGAGAAGGCATGATAAATGAAAGTGGTACTTGTCTAATTGAGATATGTGAACAGTTCTCTCTTAAGATACTGAACGGCTTTTACCCTCACAAAGATATCCATAAAATACATGGACACAAACAAGTAAAGGGCCCAAATTAATTACTGATTATACTATTATTGGACAGACATCCTATGCAAAAATCATGGATGAATAAAAAGGTGGGCTGATTGTGGGTCTGATTTTTACCTTAAAAACAACTTAGTTTAAGCAAAGGAAGAAAAATACTCTTGAAGGTGAGTGTAAACAGGAAACAAAATTTAAAGTGAGTTGTCAACTTGAGAGTTTTAAAAAAGAATTCACTGTATTTCTTTACAAGTTAAGATTGGCACTAAAGGTGGAAAGGAAATTTGAAGGGTGCACAGAAGAAATGTTCTTTTTTTTTTTGAAGGAATCCTTACACCAAGCCGCTACAGATTCAATTGGGGAGAAAAGATTAGTTAGAATGAAGGGATGGGAGAAATCAAAGATCTCCTTAAGGAAAAGAAACAGGTTCCTGAAAAATGGTTGAACTGTAAAGACCGTTTAAATGGAAATGTACATAAAATACCGTTACATTATTAAAAAGGAAGTAGCCTAATTAAAAGATAACATTTTGAGAAAAGAAATGCTGTAAAATAAATCAATTAATTGGTGGTTCAAAATCAAGGGCAGCTTGGAAAACAATTACTGTTTTTAAAAAAGATAATATAGTGACACTGACATATTCCTCAATAATTGAAGAACAACGGAAAAAAATATTATGAAATTCTTTTAATAGAAATATAGACTGATTTGAAATGTTTAGATTATTCCTTATAGTGTTTCATGTGAAGATATAAGAGTGCACAAAATAAGAAAAGAGCTAATAGCAATGAAGAACAACAAAGCACCCTGTCCTCAAGGTGTTCCTCTTGGGTTGTTGAATCATTCCCCTGATGTTGTCTTGGAATATTTGGCAGAAATATTTAATAAATGCCTAAAAGGAGAAGCCATACCAAAAGATTGGAAAAGGGCATATATAACATCACTTTATAAGGAAACAAATCTGAATGCAGCAATTACAGGGAATTCAGTGTCATCCCATCAACACAAAGGCTGTATGGATGGATTTTAGATTTAGATTTATTCTGTCAAATAACAGTAAAAACTGTATGTTACATAGGGGGGAGAAAATTATAAGATGGGTTCTGATATGTCAGATTGAAGGGGATATAATGGAACTAGAAGGACAGAGTGGATTTAGGTCTTGTCAATCCTGTACAAATAATTTCTTTTGCCTGAAACAGCTGATAGAAAAGTCCATAGTTTATGGCTGCCCATTACATCTAGTTTTTTTAGATCTCACAAAAGCATATTATAGTGTACTGGTGGAAAATATGTGGGAAGCAATGAAAGAGAACAATATCCATGGGCAGTTCATAAATGCTGTAAAGAGATTCTATGAAGGAGATAGTAGCCAGGTTAAAACGTATGCAGGTTTATCAGAGACTTTCAAGACTAACAAGGGATTAAGACAAGGATGTTATTTATCCCCAACACTCTTCAAAACATATATTAAATGTATAGTAAATGATGATACGTTACAGCTTGTTATTGTCTTCATTACAGAGCTCGATATACACTGCATAACTTATGTGGATCGAAAGGATTGTGGTTACGAGGGAAATATGAAAACAATTGAATGATGCTACACATTCTCTTATGGAGGGAATTATGAAAGGGAATCATGGGAGTGAAATATGAAAAGACAAATCTAGTTACTTTCATAAGTAAATCTGAATATTGAAATAAGTAATTTGAATAAATAAATAAATCTTAATAATTAATATAGGACACTTAAATAAGTATACCTAATTCAATAAAACTAAGTAAAAAATAAAATTACATATGTACCGGAAATAACTGGTTTTAATGATCTCGGAAGACAAAAAGCCCTTGAACACTTTGTCACCACACAATCATTAAAACCCTCATAATGCCCTTGGGGCATAAATAACTGAATATTTTCCATTTAAAAATTATTATGATCCATAGTCTTTATTTTGAGCCTGAAAAGATCATAACAAATTAAATATTTGAAACTGCAGATGTATAACATGTTTCTAATTAACTAAGCACCATTTAATATTATTCACAAAACAAGAAAGAAAAATCATTTTAATGCACATTTTTGATGGTTCATTTCTCAGATAGATCAAAATAACTATTCCTTTGCTACATTACAATCTGCAGAATGAACTTCAATTATTAAAACTCCCTATTGCAAATGCTTCCTTATATACTGCACTGCTCCACTTGCTATAATTATTAGTCTTATTCTTGTTTCACAATACTTTGTGACCACTCTCTGTTGTATTAAAACTAATGTAATATCTCAGATAATCCATTGAATGAAGGGTGAAAAAATGTATAATTTCCCAAAGTATTCCAGAACACAATTTGTTCCTCAAGTCCCAAGTTACCATAGGTATGAGCATAGGGGTGGGCATGGCCCCTCTTCAGAGGAGGTTCACAGCCTTTTGTAACAAACCATTTGATTTTGGTAAATATGTTCAATCCCTGATTTTCCTCATTTTTAACCTGACAATGCAGGGGATTGTGACATGACATTCAAGGAAGAAGCTCTCCATGCCATCTGACAACCATGTAAATAATTGAATTGAATCAATTGCATTTTTAAATTTTGTCAAAAAAAAAGATAATTTAATTTTCCTTCTAGTATGTTTTATATATTTACTAATAAAATAAGTCATATATGAATAAAAAGGTTTGTTGGTATAGGTGGTCCAGGAATATGACCCCCTCCTCTTGTTTTAGACACACACATTTGCAAGTAACATTTAAATACATTAATTGCTATGTAAAAGGTGAAGAACATCACAAAACATAAATATGATCCCAACTTTAATACATATGTACAAGGTTATAAACATTAGTTCTTACAATAATCCAACAAGTTTTACAGTATCACAAATTCTCAGCAATTTGATTCTTTGAACATTTAATAGGAAGCTCCATCCAAAAGTAAACAGCTCCTTTCCTACATCTCATAATACAAAAGTATAACATAATCATAAGTTTAATCGTAAAAGGAAAGAAAAATGCCAAAACATTATCAGAAATTTTAAAAAGCAGAAAGAAGAAATCTGTGATACTAAGGCAGAGCCCAATGTCATAAAACTTGATTTTTCAGGAGAAGCTTTTCAAAGGTCAAGGGTTCACCAAAATTAAAGATTTTATTTATAATAATGTGACAAGTCCTTTAAAGTGTTTCGCAACTTAATTCCTTTTCATCCGGACACTGCAAAATTTCACTGGATAATTAAAATATCAACAACAAAAAATTAAATAAATAATGAAATTTGCTTGTAAATCAACTTTTTGTCAAATCAAGTCCTGTCTTAGTACTATACAAATACAATAAAATTATAATCTTGAATAAAATGATATATTAAGGGAGAATTAGATAAAATATATGCAACATATAAACAAACATTAATATTAAGAAATCTTTAGGGTAGACAATTCATAAAAAATGTCTTGGGAAGAAATAGAATATATGATTCTTAATTTTTTTAAATAATTTGCTCATACAATTGAAAGATAACTGTTATTTACATTATTACTAATAATTCCAAGAATTATAAAATTTAATTTTCTTAGCAAATGAAAATATAAATGTAATTAGAACACAAAAATTGTTAGCACTAAGAAAAATTATTGAAAATTCCTTTGGCTGCCGTACTCAATCACAGATTACATTCTACATCTTATGCGCTGCAATCAAAACCACTCCACAGAAAAAGAACACCCTTGGATGGAATGATAACTTGAATTGCTTTTCACTGGAATCATTTCATTTTTTCATTTATTTTTCAGATTCTTTCTTCTTAATCAATGGTTTCAAAAAAAGCTGAAGACCATTTCCTGCTGTAATATCTGAGAACAGAATAAACAGATATCAAAAAAGTTTATGAATACAACACAATCCATTTCTTAGAAAGAGAATTGTATAATTATAAGATTCAGCATTAAATTATTCATGCTCATAGATGGTGCCTCACGCTTATTCGGTAATGTGAATGCAAGAGAAGTGTTTCAAGAGCATAAAACTATAAATAATTCAAAATTAAAGGTTTTGTAGGTTTGATGGCATTGCACCAGACCACTCAAATTTATAGTTTCTTTATTTCTTAAATAAAATTACAATAATTACTGAATTCTCACTGCATTTTTCCTTTTTTCCATTCTATATACCAATACAATACAAAAATATAGAATATAAAAACATGAAATCCAGTCTACTTACATAATTATTTCCTTAGAGTGCATGCCATGATGAAGAAAACATTAACTCTTTATGTGACAATATGTAAATTAGGGTAAAACAGCTCCGACTTGTAAAACCGGTATCAGTAGCTGGAAAGCTTCTTGAATGTATGAGCTACTATTTGCAGCCTAGACAAATAATGCCAAACATTTGTAACAGGTTAACACTTTTTAAAGGACACTGAGAAAAAATTTAAAAAGTACAAACCTCTAAAAACACATTAGTAATGTGAGAATTAACAATTTCACTTTTCTCTGCATATTCTGAGCATGTATTCAAATTTTCAGAAAATACCGTGGCAGACGTACTAACTTGTAATGAGAAAACAGATGTCATTCTGTGAGAAAGCAAAACATTCAGTTACACAAGATTAAAAACTTATCAAGAAAAACTCAAAAAAGATACTTTCAAAATTGGCATTGTAATGGCCACTCACTCAAGTAAAATCTTTGCTTCCTCACAAGGATTACGTTTCTCATACACCAGCAGTAATTCAGCAGTTTTGTGAAATTGTTCAACTGCCTCTGCTGTCAGCCTAGCTAAAGTCCCAATAGCCTTTTGATGAATCTCTTGAGCAGATGGAGCAGAATACTCAGCATTTTCAACAGTCTCTTCCTTGGCAGATCGTTGTTTATTTCTGCACTCCTGAAGCCACTGGTCTATCTCTTGCCAAGTCTGGAGTTATAAAATAGTGAAACAAGTCAAATGAAACTAATTACTATTCCCTAAAAGCACAGCATCTTGCCACAACTTTTTTCCACCTTAGAAAGGCAATTCAATTAAACATTTTATTGTGTACCACTTCACTGCAACTTATTCAAATTAAGTTATGTCTGATTGAAGCATGTTTCTGTTACTCCATGGGGATTTTCATAAACGATTTAATAGGTAGTTAAAAACATTAAATCTCATCCACACATACACTGATTGAGAAATTCCAATTTTTGGTAAAAATGATGTGAAAGCTTAGGCACTGGTATTCTTCACAAACAGATGTTCTGTCATAAACCAATTTCTCTGTATTAAGGCCCATAAAACATTCATTCTAATTACAGAAAATATTAGAGGACGTCATTTACTATGTACGGTAGGAAAAATTATCCATTTTAGGTGTAAAGAACCCACAAAAGAACAAGTTTCTCTGACCAAAAACAGTTTTGCTGCAGCTTTTTACAGCAGCATTACAGAACTTTCTTTACACAATGTAGTAGTATGTGAGAAAGTAACTAATGGTGAATTGATGGCAATTCAATGAAAAATCAACCTTTTCTTGTCAAAGAACAATTAACATTTATTACAAAATTCTTATGACACATTCTGGGCTTATTATTAATGAATGGTTCTATAGCCTTAAAACATTACTAAACCGTATGGCTTTGATAAAAGTTTGTCACCTTATAAAATGTTCTTCTCAGTAGATTTCATGCCACTGTCATCTCTAAAAGGGGTTGTTCTGGATCCTCCTGTGGTGTACTTCATAGGCCTATCGTCCGCGTAAACTTTAAATGTTTTCCAACTGTTTCTAACTATTCAGTCCGCTATTCGGACGTTCCTAAATCTGTTTCAATGTTAACGCGGCATGACTTACTGGGTTTCGGGTGCAATCCCTATTCATGACAATTATTTGTTTTCAAATTATTAATTTATAATTCCCCTCTACAGGATTATCTTCATGTACACCCACAAACATGAAGTATAAATATTTAAGATGCAAAAATTTCTGAACGACAACAAATGTTAACTAACATTAAAAATACAATCATTTACCTACTTAAACCCAAATAAACAACACTACTTAGCCTACACTATTATGAAATATTCAATCTAATATTTACCCATAACACAAGTTTACAGCAAAATTATTATGTTTCAATAATCATTACCATCCGATCGGTTCAGCTGCTTCTGTGAGAGTGAGAATTTATACTATACTATTTATATATATTTATACAATACTATTAACGTTTATTGCAGCCAGAGCGGCAGACCTATATGTTTAGTTTGTTGTTATGCTACGCATATTCCTTGGATTCTGACATTCTCGATACAACAAAATTCCATTGTACACGTTTCCTTGATGTTATTTCCTTATTACACTCGTGTGGCCTTTGGGTGTCAAAACATTTTCAAAACAATATACATGACATTAATTAAAAAAATAATTGTGGAAAATAAAATTTATGTGAAAAAAACTCCATCTTCAATAAAGCAGAGGTACAAGTACAGGGCATCCAAAAACTATCGAAGTTTTACAAGTTTTGAAAATTCAGATTAACAAGTAAAATTTTTGCCATCTTACAAGATGTAAGATCACTCTTACAAGGTATTGTAAAAAATAATTTTGAGCCCTTTTTTAAAAAAAAATTGAAAATGTCCCAGGTGCTTCAAGAAAAATACCAACAAAATGAAAAGTAATATTCTCAAAATTGCAGGGCCACGAGTCAGGCCAGATCAATCGGAGAATATTCATTTTGGAAATTATCCTGTGAATAGTTTAGACAAGATGAATGTTTTGAAAGAAAGCACTTTATCAATAGAAGGATACCCTAGAACATGTATTTCTATTAAAATCTCAAAATCAATTTTCTGCAGCATTTCATTTCACACATACATCCCAGTTCCCAGACTGAATACTATCACACTGCAGTCAGTCATGAGAAAACCAATTAATGCAAATAGAATTCTTACTTTAATAAGCTTCTGGTTAGCAACAGGTACTCCTAACCCTTTGCCAATGTCAGCCAACTTCACTTCTAAAGTTTCAAAACTTGCTCCCTCTGCATCTTCCTCATCAGGCAGTTGACAAAGATCTTTTATTTCTGCAATTGATTCTTGAAGATCAGCAACATCCGAAGATGGTGTATTTATTAAAACTGACTGTAGTTTGATGTTGCATTGTTTAGATAGCATCTCTAAAGCCTCCAAATGAACCAACCCTTCAAACAAAAGCAATTTATAAATAAATGGCTAAAAATAAATATACATTTACAACTATATAATATCTTACCATGGTAATCATCAAATAATGTTTCAAAATGAACTTTTCGTGCCTCTTCTGTATTTCTCATGGCTTTGTCTTCCAGTTCTGCTTTATCTTTTGCTTCTCTCAAAATCTAAAACAGATATTTCAGATGAAAATTAAATGAGTATAATAGACAGATCCTTAATTTTTTCCATTTTCATTAAACAGTAAGCACCAATCAAATACCCTGAAGTGTTGTTAAAGAGAATTTAGAAATGGAAATAATTAAAAATTTTAACTATTTTATTAGTAAAAATAAGTTAATTTTAACCAAAAATAAAAATAGATTTTCTAAAAAGTTTAAGCTTTACTGGCAGCAGAGAGAAGGAAAAATCTTGAGGACCACAAACTGAATACAGTTCTTTACACCAGTTGTGTATAACAGAGGTCCAGAAACAATTAGGGGTCATTCAAAATGTTTACTCCAAAAACTTTGCTTTATCTAGCCCCTACCTTTTTAAAAACTCTCCAAACTTATGAACACCATCTTCCTGAGATCATTTTCATTTGAACCCTCTTCCACTCTCGAAGAAAAATAAATGTACAACTTAAACTAACAGTGCTACAGAAAAGCACAGGGTCCCCGTATTAGTTTTCCATTTTCTTTGGTCTCTGCTAGCTATACAAACTTGCCACATACTCTTGCATGCTGCCATCTATCACCGCTTAAAGTATATTTTTTTTGCCATTTTCTTTTCTCAATTTTTCAGTTTCCTAATAGTATAACGGAAATATTATTTTAAGAATAGTAAAGAACAGTAAAACCTCGTGCTAAATGGGAATATTCTTTGAAAAATTTGGAACAATTTTTAAGAAAATGACATTTAAGCACAACTGTATATTCAAAATTTGCATCTCTTTTTCACAGAAAATGTTTGAGTTTTCAAAAAACTTCATTTGAAGACATTTGAAGCACATTCATTCACAAATACAATAGTGTTTACATATTACTACAAAAGGACATATTAAAAGCAAGAGCGATCTTTCAAATTGTGTAATTCAAATTGTGTAATAAAATTTTTAAAAAAGCCCAAAATAAATATTACATCACAGTAAAGAGTGCAAATAGCACTATACGTTCGAAAAATTTTGACGAAAACTCTTGGAGCAGATTTTGAGAAAATGGCATTTGAGAGTTTCAGAAAATGCAGAATTTTGAGTAATTTTTCACACAAAACCATTTGAGTTTTCAAAAACTTAACATGAAATTATTTAAAGCACATGTACTAATAAATATAATAATGTGAAGATATTGGTGCTAATATAAATATTGACAACGAGAGTGACAAGTCAAAAAATTACATTTTTGTAATTTTGGAAAAAATAAAAGAATAGAGCAATACAGAGTTTATGTCGTCTTATTGAGTGCATATAGCTCTATCCCTAGCAAAAGTTTAAAGATTCAATTTGGAGCCATTTTTGAGAAAAATCTTGTTTTTGTAATATTTTAAAAAATTGGACATTTTGCTTAACATGTTGCATGAAAACTTCTAAGATTTTCAAAAAATGCACATGACCTTAATAAATAAACTCACAAGAGAGAACAAATGCAGCAGTTTGAGAAAATTTTGAAAATCCAACTCCCTAAAAGCAAACCTGTTTTTTAATGGCTCATTAACAGCCTTGTATCGAAACATTTAACTTTTTTGGCTAAATTCAATAAATCTATTACCTGAAGCAGAAAAAACAATACAACTGGGAAAAAAAAATACATCAAACCGGCACTTTGTACTGCTAAGGCAAGGAAAATATCCCTAGTGGAGGGGATGAGGGTAGTAAATGAATTTTGAGGGGAGTTTTCATTGAACATGGGTGGAGAGCAAAGTACCATAAAATGGGCTGAAACCAATTACGTCTTCTGAATACGATCATTGGCACAATTTCCAACAATAGACAATGTATGGTCGGCATTACAATTAGAATTACAAAGAGGATTGGCGTTTGTGATTTTTGAATAAATTACCTACAACAATGCACTTGTTAACAATGCACTGTAATAAACACAGCCATTGTTAGTACAGCTTCAGTATTTCTCAGCTTTCATTAGGGAAGAAGAATATAAAATAACTCATATTTTGTCTACTTCTTTCTGTATTCAAATCAGTGAGTTTTTACATGTTTACTTTTTAACCAAACCTCCTTAATACAAATATGGATTTTAATAATTAAATTCAAATGCTATTCATTGTTATAATTGTTTAATAGTAATCTTGTAAATTATGTAGGGTGAATCCGATCATGCAGACTTATAAGAAGATTGAAGGACGAACACATAAATTCAAGTAAAACCTGCGATACTTTCTCTTAGCTGCAGAAGCAGTTAAGTCAAGTAAATGACGAAAAATTTCTGAACAATATGTCATTCATTCTTTGTATAAAATTAAATGACAAACAAAAATAAATCCACACATAAAATAGGCAACCAAGCAGCATTAACTTCTTTTGAGGAAGAAAGACTGGTCAAGTAAAATTTATGTTGTGTAAAATGAAGATTTCCTATAAGGAACTCACATGTAAAATATAGTGTTCAAGCTTATCTGAATAGTAAAGGCCTGGTTGAAAAGCGATTTCACAACAATCTTGCAGATCCACAATGCACGAGAGGATTTCTGATGAGAAACAAAGAACAAACTAACAGCATGAGAGGAAACTTAAAAAGAGCAGCAGCAGCAGCAATAATCCCTGCTATTACATGGGATTATTTTAGGAACCTTGAAGTATTCTTGGACGGAATTCCTCCCACTAATATAATACACTATGATGAAACAAACTTTGGTGACGACCCTGATCAAGTGAAAATCATTGTGCAGCGAGGAGCACAACACCCTTGAGCAGATAGTAAATAAGACCAGTATCAATGTAATGTTCACAACTGCAGCTGATGGCACAGTGCTTCCACCCTATACTGTTTATAAGGCAAATCATCTTCCCAATATTTTGACTGAAGGCGGCGGCTCTAGGGCAGGTCACAACAGAAACCTGAGTAGCTAGTTCAATCTCGCAATGTTTTAATCTTGGTTCAATCAAATTTTATTACTATATATTTGAACAAATTTACAAGATCCTAAATTGACTGTTACTGATAAATGTATGTAAATTAATTACTTTGTTTTTTTTATCTTTTCCAAAACTTTAAAAACAACAATAAGTCGGTTCATGTGTTGATTTGCAGCTGTTTATAAATGTGAAGAATATTGTTTCTTGCAGTGAACACTTTTTTTTTAAGCACAAATAACGATTGGGTTCAAACATCAGAAGCCCAATTCCGATTTAAAAGCACAAATAAGTCACACCCTGCAGGGTGAAACCGACCAGAAAAATATTAAAAAATAAAATGTTAAAATATAAATGTAAACTAATTTTATTTAAATGCAACTTTTCATCAAGGTTTAGTCATTATTCATTCCAAATGGTAATAAGAAACAATAAAAATTAATGTCATATTTCGTAAATAGTCTTAAATTATTGATCGGATTCACCCACCTTATGGTACATATCATGATAAATAATTATAACAATCAAGGCATGTGAGGTTTCATTAAGAGGCTCATGTACGCATGCATACTAATTACATAACTACTACAAGTATATTTAAAAATATCTTATCGCTCATAATTTTAAAATTATGAGTATAAATTCAATAATATAATTGAGAAGTTGATGTAACAGTATCTAACATTTTGGAAAAAAATTGAAATTACTGACTATCATGAAGAATGGTGATAGTTCTCACTATTTCCTTCAAGGGGAATCAAGAATACACAGCATGCAATGATAATTAACACATTCATTATAGCATGTGGAGAACATTTTGTGTAAACAGCAGTATAACATTTTATTTCCCTATGAAATTGATAAGTTAAATGCCACTATTCACTCCCAAATGCCTAATTATACAATTCGTAAAAGCAAAGTTTCAAGCAATGAAAATAATACTTGCACTCCTTTTCCCAGTATTCTCATTTGAATTTGATACAATTTTTAAAAACTTTCTGTAAGTTATTTGAATATTCAGAACTTCACTCATTAAAATTCAAGACTTGTTTCCATTTCAAACTTTTCAGAGAATTTTTGGGCCTTCAAAAATAAATGAAAGAGGTGTGAATTTAAAATAACTTTTTACCTGAGATAAAACAACTTTATCAGAAAAGATGGCTCTCTTCTTCCTTAGGCCTGGATCTCCTTCTTGAAGAACTTCCATTGTTTTCTTCCCTATGGTTTCCAAAGTATCCAAACCGCCTGACACAACTTTAGTACTAGCAGTCTCAACCAGCTTAGACACTCCTGATATAACACGTCCAAAACCAAATAAGCCACTGCTTTCTTCTTCTCTCTTTTCTTCCTCCTCCAATTCACTCCCTAGAAAACGAAAAACTTGCCATTACAATGATTTCAATCTTCAATACTTTGAAATTATGAGTTCAATTTTTAAAGTTTCATTTTTCTTCCTTTTTCGCAAATGAAACTCACTCTCTTTGTCAGCAACTAACAGTTTTTTTTCTTCTTCAATTTGTTGTTTGGCTAATTCTTCTGGATCTGGCACACCAAGACCAGTTTCAAGTACAGTACTTAAACCTTGTGACACTTGGTTCGTTAGAGTGCTTACACTTTCTGTAGCTGTTGACAACAGAGACGTAACACCCCAACTTCCCCAACCAGCCCAGCTGCCACCTCCATCAGAAACCGATTTTTTCTGAAGAAAACAAACCCAAAAGTGACACAAGAAGAAAATATTAATACGTAGGAAAACATTAATAATGATAATTACATTTTAATAATAATTATCACTTACATTTTCTACTGAATCGGACAGTTTATTGAGAACAGCATCCATCTGGATATTGCTGTCACTATCTCTCTTGCCTCCATCAGAAATTTTTTCCTGAAGGGCAGACAAAAGAATTGGAACAAACAGAAAATACTATTGTGTAAGTAGAAATGTTAAAAAATAACTACATTTTAGGAAAAATTAACACTAACTTTTGCAACTGAGTCAGATTGAACAGAATCCATTTTAATATCGCTACTGCTCTCCGCAATAAGATCATCAATTAAATCTTCATCTTCACATTCCCAACCATCAGTTTCTCCTTCAAGAACAGAATCAGCTGTTACTACATTTGAATCGGTTTCACATTTTTTTGACTTAAACTTTATATCTTGTCCTACTTCTGAATATTTGCTGTCTGTCTTGACAAGAGTTTCAGAATGCTTTACTTCCTGGACTACATCCTCATTAGGTAATGGTTTACTACTTGCACATTTAACAACTGGACTATGATCTCCCATAACATAAGGATCAGATTGTTTTGTTTCTTTGTCACTGTCACCATTACTGGATATTTTTTTATTATCAACCTTTACAGAATTATTATCTCCTTCAGCAAGAGACACCTGTTTCAAATTCTTAATCACATGTTCCTCTTCTGTTGATTCAGTATGAATTGCTCTAGTCTCCAATTTAGTTTCTTGAATAATTACCTTCTTTTCCAGAGGTTTTTGTATTAAATTTTCTTGAACTTTTGAAATGATTTTCTCTGAAGATGGCTCTTCTGTTATATTGACAGAAGGAGATTTGGAATTCAGAGCTGCTTTAATTGAAGTAGAATCTTGTTTTAAGTTTTCTTTAACAGAATCTGTTCCTTCTTCCCAATCTTCATCAGCACTTTCAAAATCTTCACTGTCAGAAGTTGCCATGGTATATTTTATTTCCAAAAAAAACTAAGAACAAACAAAACTAATTAACTCCTCTTTATTGTCATCACATCACTACCCAAAATATTAACATGATTGCGTTTAACAGTTAAAATATGTTTCTTCGAATATAACTAACAAACAAATAATGACAAAAGGCAAAAACGCTGAATTTTCACAATAATAAAGATCAAAGAGCACGCAAAAGCGCATTTACAGAATTGAAACACGTACCTGTTGTGCACTAACGTTACAACATTAATGAGCCTCATGCATTTTAATTACGACCACAAATACGTTCAACCTGACCAGTTAAACGTGGTTAAACGTCACCGTCAGTGACGGTCAGATGTGTGCGTGTTTCCCCTTGTAAATTCTTTGATACAATTTCTTTCAAAGACCGTTCATGATGGAATACTTCAATTTAAACATAGTCTGTTGTAGTAAATACGCTGTGGCGGTGTCGTCAAATCGGAAGCTTGCATGACATCTGCAGTAGAACGTCTAAGCTCACAATTAGATGACACTATAACAGCTGATCAAACGTCAATGAACACTGTAAATAAATCGAAGTATAATGTCACCATGGAGAAATTGTGATTTCTCGATATTTGCTCCACTGCTCCGTAACACCATGGGAGAATTCATCTGGTTTCATGGCAACATGGTGAAGGAAATAAGAAACATGGAACAAGATTATTTTATTCTTCTAAGCAAGAGCCCTCTCTTCTATAGTGAAATTTTTATATTTCTTCACGATGGAATACGTCAAGGTATTTTGCACCATTCTCAGATGTGCCTCTAGATGTCGCATCAGACATCAATTTTTTGCAATTACAGCGCCGTATCACAAATCAGAAAAAAAGTTTCAGACAAAACTTATGTATTTTTGTGCATAGAATTCGAATCTGAAATTTAAAAAAAATGGGGGTTCCTATTTAAGATTTCAATGTTGCTCACCGCCCCACCCGCTGCGAGCAGGGGGTGTGCTGATTTTAGCGTAGAATGATTCCCCCTTCAAAACTGTTAAGATTTGGTCTGGGTTCAAATTTTCGTACAGCGCATATTTTTGAGTTATTTCAAGTTGTCAAGTTAAATGGGACACCTGTATAAAAACCGCACTACAGCATTCAATAGAGATATTCAGTATGTCACAACGATCTACGGGAAAGTGTTGGATAGCAATCCATCAATAGTGGATTGCTTTACGCATCAATAATGCCTACTGGTGTACGCATAAGCGTTTTCTAGAACATTTTTGGTTGTATTGTGCGTTTGTCGAGGAGTGTTTCTAGTCATGTTTGTTATTTACATTGATTTTTGCTTCTCTTCCGTTTGTTTAGGTTCTGTCTGAACATCTCCATCACACATTTGATTTAAGGTGGTTAGAGAAATGTAAGTGTTATGATTAACATGCCTTTTTTATTGTATTAATCGAAAGATGAGAGGTTCTTCTATATGCTGATAGAGTTTGAATTGATTTTACCGTGTAGTTTTTCCGTAACGAGACCGTACAGTTTGCTCTTTGAACATGGGCTCTTATGGTGACCTGACAGATCTGACTTGAAATTTTAAAATTGTGATAAAATTAATTGATGAACATGTTTTTAAAAACTCTTCTTTTGGTAGCTAGAATATCTAAGAATCAATATGCGCAATTTGAAGGAAATTATCGTCCCAAATGAGAGAATTTTGCAAAATAATAAGCCTAAATCAGTCCAAATGGAGACGTTCGCGCGCTTTCTAGACAGTCGGGACTGTGACGCGCAAGTTGGAAACACCGTGCGCGCAACGCGCTTCATTCAAATCGAGTGACAAAACCTCGCAAGAGTTCGTACATTCCTCTGGATCTTCTGGGAGGAATTAAAATATCCTCACTCCTAGATAACATTGCTTTTATAGTAACCAGATATTCAGAAAAGCTGGAATTTGATGGATATAATGGTTAGTGCGATGTGAATGCAAATCTTAATTCAATTAATATTCCCAATGACCCACTTTGATACTACTCCTAATGAGAAAATGAGTGATCTTGAAAGTTTATAGAATTTTTTAAACATTCAGTACAGTATTATTATTTTGTATTGTGCCGAATGTCAGTTTTTTTGCTCCTGAACAATGATTATTTATTCAATGATTCGAAAATTATTCATACTCTCTTTTTTATTATGGAGATACACAGTGGATTGTCTTTGTCTTTTGCACCACAATTGCTTACATAGGACTCAAGTCAGCAATCTTTAGCATAGATCAGCACCTCAATCTATAGAGCTATTGAGTGGGCATTCAATTCAGAAAGAAATTGACTTTTTAGGTGCTTCAAAAGTGTTGCAATGATTAAATACTGTTTTGCTGGTGTTAATATCAATCATGCAAGGTGTAGGTGAATGCAGAGCTGGATTTCCTCCTATCAAAATTAGGCTTGGGACTCTCATACCCATGCCCGGATTTTTAAAAATAAATTTTAAAACTTCATTAAATGTTTTTATCTGAATAATCATTAATCAAATAGTTTACTGAACAACGTTTGACTTTAAAAATAAATTGAATGGAGCAATAAGAAACCAAACATGTATTTGAAAATGAGAAATTTAAAAAGAGATTTGTATTTTGTACGCAATTTGTTAATATGTATTGAAACAATGATTTATTCTATCATAGTTGGTGTTTTTTAGATTTATTCATAATAAGTTTTTTTAGTTTTAAAGATTTTTTGAAGGAGTGCCCAGTATAGTTTTGTGCTTGAAGGCCTACAGTATCTAAATCCGCCTATGGGAAAATTTAATAAATACATATTATTGAAATTGTAAGAGGAATGATATATTCAGCCTTTGGCAGTTTTAGTATTTTAATAGAAACCCCTTTTCTCTTCAGCACTATATTTTATCTGTTTGCAGTTCCTGAAGAGAAGTAATGCATTTTCAATGGTTATCACGTCTTTTTTTCAAAACATTTAAACGTCTTTTCATTTTGAGTGCAACATTAAGGCAGACGATTACAAAAAACTATGCCAATTGCAAATTTCTTTTGAAGATTTTTTTCTCCAATAGTCCCAATTGTCTCAATAATACAGTTCTCAGAATTATGTGTTGCAGTAATCGTAATTTCATTTCATCAGCTATAGTTTAATATGTACATTACACAATAATCTGCATTTAAACCAATATCATAACATGATATAAAAGTATACTGTAATAATAATAATAATAATAATAATAATAATAATAATAATAATAATAATAATAATAATAAGAGAGTCATATGCGGCAACTAATAAACGTGACGGAGAAGTTCACTGACGACATTAAGATGAAATTCGGTTTGGATAAGTGCAGGAGAGTGAATATCATTCGGGTCATATGCAAGTTATAAATTTGGAAACTGATAATGAACCAAAGATTACCTTCATGGAACCCCATGAAACTTACAAATACTTGGTTTCCAACAGTCACTCCGAATCAAACACACTGTACTAAGCATATACTAACAAATGAAGTGTGTAAACGATTGCATGGGCTCTTAAAACTCAACTCTCTGCTAGAAACCTTGTGCAGGCCATCAATTCATTTGGTATTATCCAGTGCTGACATACTCCTTTGGCGTTATTAAATGGAAGCAATACCGACCTCGACAACCTCCAGATAACAATTCGAACCGCTATGACTCAACACCGAAAAACTCATCCCCATTCAAGTACTGAGCGTTTTACCCTTCCAAGGTCGCAAGGAGGCGAGTATTTGTAGATCTCATAAAATCTACCACAGCTCTCAAATTGCTTCACTCAGAAGATACTTTCTTGGAAACATTGTGGGAGAGTTCAGCAAGCAGTGAGTGCAGTTGATAACTATAGTCCTCTGAACTTGAAAAAAGCTGATCCGCCTGTTCAACCAATCATTGAAACCGGAAGAGAAGATAACCTTATGGAAAGCAAAGGCACTGCATGGAAGGTACCCTCACGAGCTGAGTAAACCAGAAGTCGACATCTCTGCGTCGCACGCATGGCTCCAGCAAGGATCTCTTCCGGAGACAGAAGCCTTCATGATAGCTATCCAGGACAAGTGGTACCAACATTGAACTACAGAAAACACATTCTGAGAGATTCTACCATTCATTCCGACTCGTGTAGAAGATGTGAGGCTGCAAGCGAAACTATCCAACACGTGACAAGTGGATGTAGCAGCCCGCACAGGTGGAATACAGAAAGAAGCATGATGAAGTGGCGAAGCAGTACACCAATTATTGGCGTTGAGAACGGGGCCTATCGCCATTTCCGTGCCGTATTATAAATATGTGCCCCAGAATGTGCTTGAAAGTAGTGAGCACACACTCTACTGGATCGTTCCATTATCACTGACAGACATGTCGGCGCAATAGACCCGATATAACGTACATTGATAGAAACCAACAGCAGGTTTTCCTTATCGATATATCAATACCCAATACCCACAACATATCGGGAAAATATCAAGAGAAGATCCAGAAGTATACCAATCTCGCCTATGAATCGCAAATCAGTGGAACTTCAGTTAAAGTGACGACTGTGCCTATAATAATATCAGCTACGGGAGTGATCCCGAAAAATGACACTTCGGGCACTGAGTGTCTTCACTTGGATACCAGGAATGTATATAATATGCAAAGACAGTAATTTTGAATACATGCCGTATTGTCAGAAGCCATCTGAACCTTCAGTAAAGCAACCACACACACCTGGTCATCATACCTGTGTGTGCGTTGACATACCGACCGTAGATGCTGTGAATAATGTAAGATAATAATAATAATAATAATAATAATAATAATAATAATAATAATAATAATAATAATAATGTCCCGGAATTGGGCGAAAGCAGAACTGATCGCAGAGGCGATATTGTTTGCGAATTCCTGGCTAGGAAGGATCTGGAGTCCTAAACACAGGGAGCTCATGTATATTTCAAAGGGGCGCGCAGCTTCTTCGATAATAGACTTAACAATAGGAACCACAAGGATTGCCAAAATGTTCTGGATTGGCAGGTTCTTGACCTGCAACACTTAGCGATCACATAGAATTCTCCACTATTGTATTCTCCACTTCATCCGCTGGAAACAGAGCTAGAAGAAATCATCCAAACATAGGTCCAATCTTGGAACACCAAAAAGCTAAAAGAAGCTGATACCATAAAATTCCTTGACGAAGCAAAATTACTGGGAGTCCATGGGGTGGAGTAATAGGAAAAGTGGAGGAGTCCCCTAAGAGTAGTACGGAAACGTGCGAAACGCGTTAAAAATTGTGTGACATGTCAATGCCCAGACGTAGGAGCACAAAGGGGAAAGATCAGTGTATTGTGGATAGCGACTATTGTAGAGCTTCGTCAAGCATGTATACAGCTAGAAGACTTGCAACAAAAGCTAAAACTGACATTCTGCTGAGGGAAAATTACAAGACGGCCCGCAAAAGACTAAAATCGGAGATTAAAAGAAGCAAAAAAAATGCTGGAAGGCCTATTAAACAATGTGAACTAGCGACCCCCGGGAAAAGCCTACAAGATTGTTATGCGCAAATTTAAACCTTCAACAACCGCGGGGCTAGAAGACCACGAATGGGTGAAGGCAATTATCCAAGACCTTTTCCCTAGCAGAGAATGCTGGGTAAGGAGCAGACCTTCTGACTACCTCTTCGACGAAGCCAACCGCTTCACGAAGATGAACTAGTCCAAACGATGAAGAAGACCAAGATTGGGAACTGCACCGAGACTTGACGAAATTCCGAACGCGATCCTGAGGATAGTTGTAAAATAATACCCAGAATGC